TTCGACTGTCACTTTTTGATCGTTTCATTCCGATGAAAAAGACATAGAGCGTCAATCGTAGCGGAATGCGATAATTTTTTCGTCATGTTCCGAATACTTTCGTAAGGGCTCCCTTCTGAAGAAGCTCATTCTGATACCATCCTAATTGACGGTTCTTATTTCAAAAGTACTCCGAATACTCGGCTGGAACACAGCTCAATCGGTCGCCTCGAAAGCAAAGCGTTCCTAATTTGAGTAGAGCTTCGAAAAAAATAGACGCGAGATCTTTCAAGCGGCGAATGCGGCAACAAGAATGAGCCCTCATAGAGTGAGCGTCACTTCGACCGAAAACCAGGGATCGCTCTCGTTGTCAATCGAAAAGTCACAGGTCCTGAAATCGGCTCGGGTTGGCTCGCTGTAGTGGAACGAGCGCCAACAAAGCTTGAAGTTTTCAAAGCCGCGACCAGAAGAAGAAGAAGCTTGTTCACTCATTTTCTCGCCTCCTTCCGCGGGCTTCACAGACAAGCCATCATATAGTCGACGACGCTCATAATGGATCGAGCGATCTAGAATGATCGGCTCGTACAGCATCCGTCCAGCAGACGGAGAGCGCAATGGTCAGATATCCTGATGGAGAGTCAGCTCGAGCAAAGACATGTACTCGATCACTATAATTCAGACATGAACACGCGGAACATTCGAATGTCAGCCTCCCTTGGTGAGCCACGACACCACACCGATGTGAGCCTAGCAGGATTTTGCTATTTTCATCCACAGGCGACGAGCTTCAACGTGAGGCCAAGCTGTATTCCCATAATCATCAGAAGTTTTCGTACCCAAGCTGGAGACTCGCGACGCAAACACTCCGTAATCTGCCGCATGCCGAGATGATTCATCCTATCCGAATGCTGTCCTGACTGGTTTGAGGCCGCTCTTTACAGCAAGAACCGTGTGCTCCGGAGAGATAAGGCTTCGAAATATCGTAAATTTTTGTATGAGGCTTTCACGCTGTCTTTCGTGTTCTGCCAGCCCCATGAATCAAGGATCATCCATCACTGTGTTCCCCGCAATTCCATCAAACCCTAGTTCGAGAGACACAAAAGATTTCTAACAGATTGAGAGCTCTATTCCCGGAGCAGAAAAAAATGGATCCGGGAGAGTGTTGCGCCTGTCGTTCCAATTTGAAAGACCCGTTCTCGCCTGACAACGCTTCGCTCCAGATCACGGTGGTAATACTTTCATTCGATAAAGGCTGCAGACGCGCAATAGACACATGTAGCCGCCACGCATCGATTCCGGGGCATAGAACATTCAATTACCGGGGAAGTGGAGTTTCCTGAGCAGAAAAAAAGAGGATTGAAAAACCAAAGTATGATCATTGTTCCGGGAAGTTCCCTCCGAGCTCATTCAAGGCCAGACGTCGATTTTACGTCTCCGGGTCCGATGACCAACTATTGGTTTTGAGAAGGCGCTTCTTCATCTCGGATCCTGTATTTACGCTCCCCGAAATCCGATTCCCCTCCCTAGAATCTGATGTCCCCCTATCCTTCTGGATTCCAATCACCCCTCGGCCCGGAAAAACGAATCTCTATTGAGGACTTTGTCCCTTTCGTGATTATGTAGAGTCGAAAGCAGGGAACTTGTCAAGCACAGGAGCAGGAGCTACCGAATGTGGATTCAATGAGAGGGAGTCTCAAAGCCTCCCAAGGTGTTTTCCAACAAACCGCCCATGTCAGTCGAGATTGGGTCAGTCGGAACTGCGAATCTTCCGACATCGGGCGAGTATACGGCAATAAATATCTCGATCTGCGGAGCGGTCTAAAGCTCCCACTCAGCCCACCTCCCCGACCGTTTGCGGCTTCTCGAATATGCTTAGCTGTACACACTCTTCTCCGTTACAGCTTACCATACGAGCATGGATTCAGGCACCAATCAGTCGACCGGAGCGTTCGTTCTCATCGAATGATGTCCGTCTCGGCCGCCGTACCTCTGCGATTGCTGAGGTATGGCGCAAAGTTCGTGAGAAAGGGGAAGGTTTCAACTAGCAAACCCTGACGTTTCGAAAATCCTGTGTACTTCACAGCGAGGGGAAAACACTCGAACATTGGTGAGCTGACGCTTTCATTCTCTAGGGCAGTTGGTCCCAAACTTTTTCTTCCACGGAACCCCTAGGGGTTCCGCAGGGGTTCCACAGGTAGACTTCGGGGTTCCGCGCAACCCGCCACGGAACCCCGAGGGTTCCGCGGAACCCAGTTCGAGAAACAATGCTCTAGGGGGACAGGGGCATGCTAGATCGGTAGCACCCCGATGCAATGAGAGCAGCAGCTCGTTTTCGGCTGCCTGCAGTTCAAATCAGCGGCCCCGCCAGCCAAGCACGATTGACGGAGAAGAAAAAATGAACCCCTAGATTGTGCTCACGGGCTCTGAGATGTGGGACCGTCTCAGGGACGTCAGAGGCGAAACCCTGTCCGAGGAGGAACATGGTCCCCGGTGCCGGAAAATTCCATAATCAGGGGACTGTCACCTCTCCCATCCATCCTGCAGAAGAGTCTCCGACTCCTGACATCTCGACTCAAAGAACGGTGAACGGTTCTCGGCCCACGTAAGGTATAACGAATACCCTGAACAGAATCGTCATTCCTGCTATGCTCTCGAATTATCCGTGGTCCGGAAGAGATACCCGAGACGTACATAAGGGCGAATCGGCCCTCAAGACTGACTTCACGGTAATCTCAAATCGACAGCTGCAGGGTGCCGCTTGCGATTCGACGCATATGAGTGTAGAAACAGAAATTCGAGCCAGAGAATCCTACGCAGCCTAAATGTGACAAGTGGATCGTTCCAGAGTCCACGCTTAACGCATATCGCCCGCATACTTTATGAACTATTCGGAGAGAATAACAGAGAAAAATATAATACTATAGACCGCCATCCATCAGACGCCGACTTGGCTGTGATGACTTCTTGTTGAAAGTGATAGCGCCTCGACTAGCTCGAGTCATGCTCGCGTGGCTTGGTTACAATAAAAATAATTCATCTCGCTGCCGTTTCTGAGATCGAATTCGCCTAGTATCCCTACAAGTGCCCTAACCCCTAGCTGAAGTTTGCACGGGGCAGTTGTGAATCCTAGGAAAGTGGCTCCTAGGATTCACGGAGTGTCACCAAAACCTGGCTCTGATGGGGTGAGGGGAATGAATCAGTGAATCATGTGTCAGCGATGAGAAGACATGCTCAACTGGAGCTATCAGCCTGAGCTATCGAGGACAATCTGATGGTGGTCTTGCGCACAATGAACGCTTGATTCTCCCCTCCCTACGTCGCCACCTCCTTGTGGCTCGCTTACTGTGAAATTCTCCGGAGTAAGAGGGACGTATTCCTTCTAGCTCCCTCTGCAATACAGCAAAAGCTTGTTACAGCGAACCTCTCGGGACTGGCAAATTTGGTTCGGTGCAGCGAATAGAGCACGAGCCACGAGAGCACACCTACCTTTCGAAACTTCCAGCATTCAAGTGAATGCAAAAAAATCAGATGGAGTGGAAATCCTAGGTCGCCTCGGCATTGCGTCTATTCTAGACCGTTGGTAATATGTAAATTAATCGAGGAGCTCACAAGAAGTCTGTTAGTTTTCTCTGTACCATGTTCGTGGTTTGATTTCTATGTACGAAGCTCTCAATGTCTGAGATGGCACGGAAGATGCTGTCTGGAGCACACCCCTTCGCGGCAACAAACCGCCTGATTCATGATGAGGACTCAAGACATGCACCGACCGCAACTTTTCCCTCTGAAGATTTTTCCAGAGGGTCATCCTCACTCTCACTATTTTCGGAATGCGAAGCTGTCCTAATCGTTGATACGCTTGGAACTTCTTCGAGAATGCCGGAGTCTGTCAATTCTTCACATACTAGAACATCGTCATCGGCCGCCACGCAGTCATCAGATGTCGTATCACGGCCAATACCCCGACGTTCTGCGTTGAAATCGATCCAATCTGAAGGTTCCTCACAAAAGCTTCCTCCGGTCTACGGAGCTCGGTTGGACATGGCACTATTTTCCCAGCACTTCACTGACGTAGTTGGGAGAATTTCCGACCAAGCCGACGCTATCATATTTGCGCCTCTTCCAGAGCTTGTGTGGGTATCCCCGACTTCTTCTGTCCAGGTTTCCCTCTTGGTAATAAATAATAATCCACAGCGATTCGCTCCGGAAAGAGATACTTTCTCATTCACCAGATCAGGGAAAATCGCAAGGTATGTGAATGATCCGGAAAATGGAAGTGCTCAGGGATGATTTGATATTTAGACGAAAACAGCTCGGATTCCTCTGAGTCTGCACGAGCTCCACGGAACAAGGTATGACGACGTCTGCATACAGAACACGGAGGATCCTAAGACTTGATTCTACACTCGATGTGGGTATTCATCTCTAGCGTGCGTGGCGAGCGACTTCGGATGATCGGTATCGGTAGACTCGTGCGTAGCTGGTGGACGACAGCATCGTTAGAGACTCCACACTCTTTTGCCTTGCAGATAGAGCAGCTAGTATTCGAGAAATCTATCCTGGTCGATCACTCCATCTGCGGAATCCTCTGAATTTGATAGTGTTGACTGAGGAAAAGCATTCTTGATATCGATGCTCGTAGAGCTGAAACTTGGTTTCGTACCAGAAAAACTTCTGTTGAAAACTGCTGTTGTGTGAAGAAGTGGATTGGACTCGATGAGATTTCTGAATTCAGAACGAACGGTTGCGTCTAATTGTCGGCCGGACAACGGGAAAACTTGGTGGCAAGGAGTCACTCGACGAAAGGGACCACCAGTCCCCTAGAACGGGGGAGGAGCTTTGGGCTGACGTCTGGTCGCTGTTCATCTGTAACGGGTGAAGCAAATGCAGCTATCAGCTTGCGGGAATCGACATAACCGACGAGATCATTAGATCCCAACCGACAACTTTCAGATGTTGGAGTGCGGTCGTTTGTGAAAGCTTGTGATTTTGTGTTGGTGTCCTACTCGCTTCAACGGAGAAGCATGCGTCCGGCTGTTTTACTCGCCGCGGTGCTCATTGCTTGCAGCGCAGTCGGATCGACAGACAAACCCAAGTTCATACTGACAGATCTGTCGCAGAAAAATGAAAATGTCACGTGGGACAGTCTAACCGGGAATGTCACGGCAGCTTTAGGAAACGTCATGAACTCCATCTTGCCTCAAGTGGTGCGAGCCACCTCTGAAGTGGAACTCGACGCGGATTGCACAGCTTCGATGTTCCAGTTCTTCCTTGGATTGCGGAAATTGACTCCATGGGCTGTGCGAAGTAAGTACTCTTATTAAACAGATCGTATGAGTGGCGAATAGATAGTGTTCGGTCGGCTCTTGCAAACGTCGATTCGACTGAAACTCGAACGAGTCCTGACCCGCGGGTCGGCCCTGCATCCGAGGGCCACTCAGAGATGGCTCTGAAGTTGTAGTCTTCCTGAGATCGACCATAGAAGAGTCATCCCGTAGTCTCTTTCCGTTGAAAATTCGCTCATGGACTGCGGGTCAGGGCGTATGATCCGGATGAGCGAAGCATCAACCACTATAATAATGATGCTCGTGGTCGTTCTTCACTTGAGCCTGGAGAACGGACGGAGCTTGAAAAAATTTGCCAAGTTACGCCATGTCTCCGAGTGGCATATCGCGTCTACAGTGGCGTACGAAGGTTTTTTCTTGGGGGGGGGCGTAGATCGGGTCTCCGCATGGGAACGAAATCCAATA